AACGGTGTGACTGGCGGAGGCCAGCATGTGAAACTGCATGACCACGAACGACATCAAGCCGAGAACCTCCCAATTCAACCTGAAAATGATCTGGAAATGAGACGACGAACACCTTTAGAAGTTGATTGAAGAGACAAAGAATGACGGCTATTTTGTTAGTTCAAGTCACCACGAGGTGTGGTACAGTTCGAAAGGCATTACTACGCTAGGGAATCAACGACGCTGGATAGAATCAGTGGAATATTCGGTAAAAAGATCCCCGTACCTACTCGGACGGTGTGGAGCCTCAACGCCCTTGTGTTTTCTGCGGAACGCAATCCGCTCAGTTACTGACTTGTTTTCCTTAACTCTTTATGAGGTTTCTATTCAAGCCTTATTAGGCTGACTTTTCGGATACTTCGAAGCCCACATCCGGTTCAGTCTACGAAACTGCGTTTGGAATTCCTTTACAGAAGCTGAACGGTATAGAGAGGTGTCTCCCAGATAGTGTTCTGTTATTTCACATTCAAGTAGTCTGGGAATCACTACAAACTCTCCTCCTTTGCCACCGACAGATAACCTTGTGACTCGAGACTTTATCAGATCTCGAAGTTCCCTAATACCACGTGCTTGTTCTCGTGAAATGTCAGATGTTGTATTTGTTCCTGGAACCCACTCAGCACCTTAAAAAATTTCGCCCAAAAAATTTGCAGGTACATAGACGACCGCTTCATAGTTTGTGTTCAGTTTCAGTAGTTCGACACAGGAAGAAACAGATGTGTGTTCTGGCCTGCTGAACTCACAATCAGAGCACATTAAGTAACACGAAATTGGCTTCCGTTCTCGAACGTCCAAGGGAGGGTGCAAGGCGATATGATTGTTACGAAGTGTTACAGAAAACCCAGCAATAAAAATATTATTGTCCATTATCACTCAGCTCATCCTTTTCACATAAAGCGAGAGGTTGTCAGGAATATGTTCCGCGCCGCTAAGAAGGTCTGCACTGTAGGGGATGAGCGTAGAGTCGATTAAAATGGCATGTGATATTGCTCAGATGAATGACTACTGCAACTTTACGACTACACCAAGATCTCCTTCTTTCGGCGCGAGCCTCAGGGATGGTGGTTCCTCGATAGGTGGGAAGATCCCTTTGTGCTACCATTCATCACTGATGAGGTCAGTGCCACTATTAGGAAGTGTCTCATGAGATTGTGCTTGGAAAATGCGGTTGCCATTATAAACGTATCAACCTACAATCCAAAGAAGCGCCTGGTTCGGAACAAGCTATCTAAGCTACATAGGCGATCGTAGCTAGAACAAGCTACGATCGTACAACCTCAAATTGTGTGATCTGCCCAGCTAGAAGGTAAGGTGATTGCAACATGTCCGGAGTGGTCTACAGAATTACTTGCCGTGACTGTAGTGATGAGTATATTGGTGAAACGGCCAGACCACTCCACGTAAGGATTAAGGAGCGCATAGATGCTATGAAACGATTGAAACGGTCTACTGCCTTAGAGAGTCACCGAATCCAAAAGCACGACGGAGATGTTTTTGAAATCACCATGGAGGCCGTGGTACAGGTATCGCAATTATGTGCGCGTAAAATCCTCGAGGCATTTTGGATACAAGTCACCGATCCAAAAATGGATCTTAGGGTAGAAAGCCTCGTAATCACGGAGTTGCGACCTTATATAATGCTGGGAATGAAACGCTGCAACCAACAGGTTTCTGAAACATTGGTTTGTACGAAAAGTTTTAGGCGATTTTCTAGTCATTTTTGAGTGGAAATTTCAAGAAGAACAAATCGATTTGTCAAACAAACTATCCTCCAATTCTGTTAAGTAATGGTTCGTAACCTTTCTGTGAGTTTGACTACTCCACTACCACGGATGGTTTCAGAATAGATTTTTGAATAACCCTTTCAGGTGCTTTTGCAGTCCACTAGCAGTTTCAAAGACTTTCCATTCAAAGAGTTCAGCAGACAACTGGTACTGTGGTGTTGCTATGTTCTGACTGCGTGGAGTTATATTGCCGGTAGACAACGCCCTTACGATTTGCCTTTTCTGGGTGCTTATGTACTATCGTTGCCTTCAAATTGTCTAGCTGAGTACAGTCCATTCTTGAAGTTATCGTTAGATAATGCTATAGTAGTAGCAATGAGTGATTCCCTTCCAACCTTACCAGCAACACAACATAATCTTCCCTCGATTTTGAGTTTTTAGTGGTTTGTGAAGGCTTAGTGGGGAGGCCCCACGATCGTTTCCGCTCCACGTTGTTGCACGCGACCCACATTCGCCCACCATTCTCATGCGTTCCAAAAACAGTCCATTTTTGTTTCTTTGAGCAACAAGTCACACATAAAGGCGCGGTCCATCACATTGCGCTCGTTCAGTTGCTAAGGTGCTCAAACATCAAGGCGCTTATCAAAACCAAATTGCAGCAATCGGTCATGAATGGTTGATTTCGAAACGTTGATTATTATTTCTATTTAGTACTGTAGTGTGCGCGATTCGTTCTGACTACTTTCTGATTTGGTCGTTATCATCTGATGATAGCCTCCATTAGCGTTGCCAAACATCGAGAGTGAATTCACCCTGATCATTTCGCAAACTGCTCACGCACTGAACGTTCACCTAAAGCATTGTCTAATCAAACGTCATGAATCTTCCTCGTGGCTTGAGCTGCTACACGCTTTTGCGGTAGAAGAAAAGCAGGAGGATACGAAAATGCACGTGATGGTTCTCAATGTTCACACGAGTCCTATACACAACAACTTGAAAAATGTTCACAGAATTCAAGCAATTATTAGATGTGTGCATTAATTTCCGCCGTTTTTTGCGTGCAAAAACATTTATTACAAAATTGACCAAATGTACATTAACCAATGTATCGCCCATCTTTAGCTGCAACTTCTTGCCATCTTCCTAGTATCTTGTTGACTCCGTGTCTAAAAAAGTCTTCATCTTCTGAGGTGATCCTGTTATCCATTCCGGAAGCGTGTATTTGTCAATCTGACTTGAAAGGATCGGAATAGGTGGTAATCAGAAAGAGCAAGATCTGGAGAGTATGCGGGCTGAACAAGCTGTTCCCATCCAACAACTGCAATATTTTCAAGAACATTCTTCGCAACATGGGGGCTGGCATGTACGTGGTGGAACAGCACCTCATGATATTTCCTTGCGATTGACTGCTGCTTGTAGGTGAGAGCATCCTACAAGCTGTCAAGTTGGTGTTGTAGCGGTCAGCAGTAACGTTCGCGTACAGCAGCTCATGGTACACAACACCATTTTGATCCCATCACCAAATGCACACATGGCTCTACTTTTTGGTCATGGACATTCCGCTTCTGTTGCAAACTCTCGAGTGAAGAGGAACCATCTCAGCAGGTTCGTTCAGATGAAGCTTGTCCTCCAAACAAGCATCCGGTGGGCTTCAATGTCAATTTCTTGAAACCAAACAGCAGGAGAAGGGCCCCCGGCCAAACAGTCATCACGTTCCATGACCATTCAGTCTAAGAGCAACAGGATTTTGGGGGAAAACTGATCTGTCTGCTCTTAAGTAGGTAGCCAATACCCTACCTTATAGGATATGTTATAGAATATGACAGGTTTCACCGGTAAACCCTCTAACATGGTTCGCACAACGGCCCTTGGAATTCGGCGGCGGAAATTAATGCACACACCTAATATATAGGGAAGAACTTACCCTTTCAGACAGTATGGGACTAGGTGAGGTTTGGTTCTTGGTCATTTGCACAACCCTTGATAAACCCATAGTGTTCAAAAACGCCGGAAACTTCCTGGTAAACCCAACGTAATGAGCTCCACAAATGATGATTGGACCGTTTAGACATAATGGCCTGTAGTTAGACACTTGTTCTTTACAACCTCCTTCAAAAGTGGTCGCCTAATATAGACTTTTCACAATTTAACCTTGGAGTGAGCATCTGTTGAATAATTGTCATTACATTATGTACTGTAGGGTGTGTGTGAATGGATCGCAGATAACTGGTGGCAAGAGTTGGTTACGGTTGATGGGCTCGCAACTCACCTTGAAAGGGAACATTCACTCATCTGGGAAGGATTTCAACTCCTCTTGAAGTTTTTAAACGAAGATTTAACTATGTCGATATAGTTCAAAATGCTCTTCACAAGTATAGAAACTAAAANTGCTGAGTGAAATTTCCAAGAAAGTCAGGAGCTGACAATGAGGTTGCTTGGGGATAATCAAAGTTGGACTAAGCAACTGTAGACCTAAGAGCAATTACCCTGTGGGGTAGAGGTAGTGTCGAGTGAAGATAAGGGGTATGTTTCCAGCCGTTCGTCCATCCCATCGTGGGCGCAGCGTCGCCAATTTTACGCATGCCGATCAGGTATTAGTCCTTGCTCACTCCTTTTATTCTTTTCCTGGCCTTTACATCATCGTAGAGTTGAGTTATGATTTGTGTCCCACGGACGGAGCTACACTGACAGGGAAAGGACACCAGCTCGCAGTGGTCATTCATGGTGAGATGTATACCGACGCAAGTACCTTCGAAACGCTGATCTCAAACCTGAGTTCAAAATCTACGAAACGATTCCTGGAATAGGGTGACGGGCCCAGTTTCTCCAGGTTTCATGTCACTCTGTTCCGAAAATCGTTTCGCAGATTCTGAACCCAGATTGATATCAGCGTTTGAATGTACTTACGTCGGTATACATCTCATCTTCATTGACCACTCTTCAATTTCGATGTTCGTGACGGACAGACCGCCTTGAGCGAGTTACGTACATAGCATGTATTGGATCCGAAAAGGGTAGGACGAGATATAGAGCCTTCCGACGTCATCAAGGCGGGAGACAGGCATAGCCCAGTCGACATGACTGGCTCCCTGATAGCCACTCATCTTGCTGAACCCGATGGTGAGAGTATTGTCAGAAGGAAACAAGGATAGGTTACTCCATGCAACCTTATCAGAGGAACCTACGAAAGCCGCTTTATTTTGACCTGGTAGGTTCAATTGACTAGTACTACTAACTATGAGTGGTCGAAGACGGTCGCGCCGTCGGAATTCCAGAAGTGCATCACCCAGCGAAGGCTCGAGTCCAACTTCCTCGCAGAGAAAAGGTACAGCTAGTCTTTTCTTTTCTATAAAACTCAGAGTTTGATACTCGACCTACTAAATTTCAATCTGCCAAATCTTTCACCTGTCGTCACGTACAAGATTAATATTACTGTTATGGGCACTATTATCAGCAAAACGGAAAAGGGTGCAAGCAGACTACCTGAAAGAGGGTGTGGTGCATTAGGAACGAAACTGTCGCGTTGCGGCGAGTGAGCCGCCGCGCGCGCATGAATATAGCAGATTGCGGAAACAGGTAAGAAATGCAGGAACAAAGATTTAACATTAAAATCATGCCAAAAATAATACTCGCATATCGACTGAGCTGTATGAAGAACGCTATCCTTACTGTATATAAAGCGCTCGCGTCTGTCTGTCCGTCTGTCTGTTTGTACGGAAATTCGATATCACCTGAGAAAGTACCTGCAGAAGTTTTAAGCCTATGGGCGGTCGTGGACGTTGAATGCATGCATAAGTATGCATTGCCCAACTGGTAACTGTAATAACAAGGCGAATGGTCCGCGACTGCCGCACGCGGGGCAAATTTATCACACAGAACCGATCCTACTGCCCGTCTCCCCCTGATATGATGATCCTGATAAATTAAGTGTGAACATATTTACCAATCCTGACATAGCAATGAAGGTACTCCGGTGTTCATGTGGTATTTTCTTATTTACTTATGAAACAAATATCGGAATTCGCAACCTGGCAACCTGAGAAAGTGCAATAACCTGTGGATCAATTGTGCCTTGGTATGTAATAATTATAATAATTGGCAAATAAGAAAACGAAGCAACGGTAAAAGTTGATAAGAGACTTATTGCTGGAAGGCAGGAGCCGCTAGAATCATTGCCCCATCCGTATTGAAGCGACGCATTGTCACTTGGATGTTCACTGTTATGTGTGGTGTAGATGAAGCTGCATATCCGAGCCTACACTATCATCCAATTTGCTATATCTCCGTCAGGGCAAAGCAGCAGTGTTATACAAAAACCGGTTAGGTAATGCATGCTTATCATGCATTGTATGTCCACGACCGCTCATCCGAAGGCTTCAAGCTTCTGCAGGTGCTTTATCAGGTGATATTGAATTTCCGCGCAAACAAATAGACAGATGCGAGCGCTTTGCATATTGTAAGGATAACAAGAGAGCGTGTTAAGCTCGATTATCTGTGATTGACAAATAGTAGTGTGTTCAAGTTTGAGCCGTAACTGTTCTGAAAATGAAAACATTACAAAATTGAATACTTAAGTGGCCACCGTTGTATCAGTAGCACTCGCGAACGTCGATTTGAGCGATCAAGACTCCGTAGAACGGTGAGTGTACTTCTTTTCAAAGGACTGACTTAAATAATAATAATGTAAGTAGCCGCTGCTAACCTTTTGCTCCTTTCACTTTGTCACTTTGTTCCAAATGTCAGCTATGGGGGAGGGATTAGGAGAGAGGGGCAAAGGTACTGCAACTACAAGCGAAATTGCATCAATAAAGGATAAACTTTTGGCGCTAATCAATCCCATCTGAGGGATGTGCCCCCGGTGCGTTTGTGGCCTATACAATGAATTGCGGTGGCCAGCCGATGCACAAGCCAGTGCTTGTATCCTCCTAAACGATTCTGGTACCAATTGACCGACTCCGGAGAGATGGAAGGCTTAGTTGGCCTAGGCGGNCTTGCCACTACACCCTCTCTGCATCAATAATAAATCTTAATGACTTTTGCTAGAGCAAATGACTGGGAGTAGTTGACTATGAATGAACAGGAGGAAGGTATATTGAAAAGTAAGCATTCACTGAGACAACTTGCGCTCCTGACCTAAATTCTACGTAACAGAAGACACTTGCGACTACGAGCTCAGCATGACGAGCTGGGCTCTAGCCAAGGAGGTGACCTCAATGAATTGAATCGAACAGCGTCCTTGGATTGATTGGGGTATCAAAACGGGAGAACTCACAATCGCAATGGTGGCAGACCGTGTTCCAGAATTCCCATGTTTGCAGGCACGCTCGCGGTATTGGCTCCACGGCAATTACATAGTCATGCAGCGGAAATTCAAATCGTACTTTCACACTGCTCGGTCGTGCATCCGTTAGGTGCGTGTGGGAAAGTGGAGAATGTTTGAGCACAAGATCCTACCTCCCGATTTCTATCATCCCTCCACGATTTTAGGCGCTGTCATAAATCACCAGCGAAATGGAGACCCTAATTCCAGAGGCTTTCAAAAGCAATCTCTGGTTCATTCTTCGCTAACGAGCTAATTAACACTTCGGCTCTCATTCTTCAGCGCGATCATCCAGAATAGGGTGCGTGCGATGCCAGAATTTCTCTCCGAATCCCCACGGCAAGCGGCAAAGGCCACGCGGCGGCTACCTTATCCTTGCACTGCGAATTCAAACCTTTCCCTTCAAAGCGCGCGATCGGGTGCGGCGAACGCGACGCTGTTTTCGGGGAGAAGATACCGGACCCGGGTAAGCCCACCACGCCCCAAGCACCAGCCCCACATGATGCGACCTCTGAGAGCAGCGATCCCCACTCAGATCTGTTGATATCGGGTTGCTTGTTGTCAAAAGGGAAAAGACGATGAAAGTTCCGCAGAAAACAGCAAACTAGGACTATCGAGGGATTGAGTTTCACTTGTTGACCAGTATCCCATAAATTCGTTTTTCGTGGTTCTGGCTTATTCATAACTGTCCTCTGTAATGAAAGTGAAATGGATTGACGCATAGCAAACAATATCGTTTCATGCGGGTTGGAAGTTATTCTATACAGCTCAATCTACTCAGCATACTTACTTTCACGCATATCTTGATCACCTAAATGAACTTCTATGAGTTTTGGATTCACTACTAAAAGACCAAGTACAGGACTGAACGGGATACAACTGCGCTGGCTGAACAAGCATGTTTGAATGCTCGTGGAAATGTAGAAAATGGTAATACAGCGACGAATATATTTACCACGGGGTTAGTTTTATTTACTACGTTGACAGCGAAACTTGAACCCTTAATACACCTCGATTGCTGGGATCAACAGCAACTCATAACGCTTGCAGAAATGCCAGAGAAGGGGTGGTGGAATGTTTAGCAAGAAATGATAGGCTCATGTAAAAGCAATCAAAAATGAGTATTTGGACCTTTCTTTCCTTCTGGTGGGACCAAAGGAGGATTGGGGCATGTAATTAAGAGGAGAAACTTCATCGCTCACAGAACTTCTCGGGAAAGCGTAACAGTAATGGAAAAGCACAAAACAGACCAACATACTTCAACGTCCTAGCCCAACGGCTATCCCAATGTCACATCCGCCCC